TTCATTTTTATTATTATTATTATTATTTTATATATCAATTACTGCTAAGCTACTATTACCCTAAATTCAAGAGTTCAGTAGAGGGAGCAATTTTTGATCTGTCAGTACTAGTATTTTAATATCGTGTTACCTCAATTTTATTTTATCATATATTAAATGTTAATTTTACTTTAAAAAAAGTTGAGCATCTCTTAAATATAATAGTGAATAAATTACCTATAAAATAGCAAGTAATTTTATAATTTGATAATTATTCATTTTTATGATAATTTGTGTCATTTACATGGTGAATAAATGATTTTTTTTTCTTTTATCAGAATTGGTTGATCCAGAAATTTTGCCCTCGAGATAAAGGGATTTGACACCTGCACAATAGAAAGGTCAGCGTCTCAATTATGATTATTTTCTTCCATTTATAGAGGAAAATTGGGATCAATATCTTTCCTGAATCTAGGAAAAATTTTGAGGCCATAAGATATTTTTTCTTCCACATCTTAGATTTAGGAGAAATCCTAAAATATCTTCATCTTTTAACTTCTTTATTAACTTAAATTACAGAAAATAGGAATTTTTCCCATTCATCCCAGAATTGAATGGAGAATCTAAGTATATGGATAATAAATGACAAAAAAATGGAGAGAAAAATTTGATGATGACGAGAAATTGAGATCAAAAGAAGATCATAGTTGTGTTTAATGAGTCAAAGTGGTTGGTAACATCAACCCATTTACTGAACAATCCCATAAATAAAGGGCAAGTTGTTGTTTGTTAGAAGTTTAATTATTCATTTATTTTATTTGTGGGTGAGATTATTTAGATGGTGCTTAGTTTTTAAGTAATTCTCAATTTAGTTTTTAACTTTTAAAAATTTTCAATTTTCTCTTAAATGTATTCAAAATCTTTTGAATTAGTTCCTTCAAAAATGGTTAGGATTTGATAACAAAAATTTAAAATATTATTAAATTACTGTTTTATTAACATATTTAGATGTGTGACTATGCAGTTCAAGTGTGACATGACACATGAAATTCAAATGGTTCATTAGTAAAATCCAACCTATCATACGATAAAATTCCTTTCTTCCGAATGACATGTTTTCATATTTAAATATGTAATTAAATCAATAATTTAATGATATATTAGTATTTTGTTAATAAATTTTTAAAATAATTTTTAATCTAGGGATCCAATTGAGAATTTTAAAAGGTTAGGGATAAAATCAAGAATTGTTTTAGAGATTAGGGACTATTTGTTATATTTAGTCTAAAAAATTTGTAAATAGTGTCTTCTTCCTAAGATGGTCCATCATCTCTTAGGTTTTCTAAATTTGGTCCTAATGTTTTCAAATTCTGGATTAAGCTTTTTCCTAGAAAAACTTGTCTGACGTGTCGTTGATTTATTGTTTTATTGATCGACCCAAACAAAATGACAATTTATTGTTTTATTAACATATTTGGACATGTGACTTATTAATGACTATGCGACTTGGAAGAAAGGCATTTTATTCATGAACATGTTAGATTTTGTTAATTGGCGAGTTGAGTTTTATTTTGCACTTGAATAACATGTTCATGTATCCAAATATATTAATCAAATATATTAATAAAACAATAGTTTAAGGGTACGTCAATTTTAAATTTTTTTTTTTTTTATGAAATCACCTAATAGATTTTTTTTACATGGTTAAGATCAAGATAAAGGAACCAAATTAATTACTGAAATTATTAATTATCATTAATTTTTTTATATAAATATTTAGTTATTTTTATTAATGGAATTAAAAAATTCATGAACGGGTGGCGGGTGGGAATACATTCTCCATCTCGACAAATTAAAGGAAAAAACATTTCATTCTCGTTCAAAAAGTGGGAAATTTCCTTTGAATGAATCTTTATCTTTCATTTTTGTCCTTAATTTTTTTAATAAATACCTATTTTATCTTTAAACTGGAAGGCAAGTATTAGATCGAAATGTTTGTTGAGAGGAGTGGTGCGTCCATTCACATATGGGTATGATTAGAATTGATAATTATTTATATATAGTGCAACAAACCGATATATTTTTTTTAGATAGATAAATTAATATCCAAGAGGTGCAATTCGATGAGTTCATCGTTGTTTACAACTTCCAATAATTGAAACATAAGGACAACTCTTTTCATATGAATGATAAAATATTAAGTTTACGTTTACTTTTTATTCTAACCATTGATTTTTAGTAATAATAAATCTTAAAAATACTTTTAAATAGAAACAATAATTTTTTACATAACAATATACTTGAAAAATAAACATTTAATTTGATTATTGCTAGTCAAATTCAATTATAAATGTTCATTTATTCTTAGGAAAAAAAATTAATAAATAATAAAGGAAAAAAAACTCATAAAGGCCAACTCATATGTGATATTATATGTACTAAAAGGAAAAAACAAAATGTGATATTATATTTATGGCCTGACCATAACATTGTCATTTGCCAATAATGTGTGATTGCATCCAAAAAATTTTAGTGACGTAACTTTAACTTAATTAATTAAATAGATTAATTAATTAATTTTGGATATATTGACATCATGGATTTTCTCGTGGACAAATTTAAAGAGTCTAAATTTAAGTTATTTATTTAATGAATTGGATTCAAAATCCAAATATCAACCAAAAAAATATTCTCGACAAAATGTTAGAAATTCACATCTTCAATCTTATATATGGTTGAATGTAAGTCGTGTGAGAATCATATGGCTCTATAATAAGATTATTGGTCTGAAGTCCAACATTAATGATAGCTTCATTTTCTAAAATTTTTTTTAAATATTGTATTTTGTAAAAATTAATTTCAAACAATATATTTTTTTTTAAAAAGTTTATCCTTCGTGGATAAATTTTAATAAAGGTAGCCAATATATTTTTGTTTTATGTTTACTTTATGATTAATTTATATATTGATAAACTATAATCATAATAATTATCCATTAACTTACATACTATAATCATAGTAATTAATGACTTATGTTCCTGGGACTTTTCTAATTTATAATATTTTATTAATATTATGTTAGATTTGCAATTAGAGCATAGATCTTGAGAACCAATCACACGAGAAAGAATTGGGTATCAAATTGACAACATAATAATTTTCGAAACTTTATGTGTGTGTTTTGAAAAATGTTTTTTTGTAATGACGTGTTAAAAATTGTCTTTTGGAGTGACAAATTTTCACATTTATTTATTAAATAACTTTGAAAATAGTATTTCATAGGAGCATAATTCGATTGGATAAGATATTTATTTACGTCTCCAATCTGTACTAAAATTGAAAAGAAAAAAAAATAGTTGGAAACAGATACAATTAATTATAAAAGAAATTCCACTTTCATTACATGGACTGTGCAGGTACTAAAATTATGTTTTCTAAAATTAATAATAAAGCTCATTGACAGCAATTTTGTTTTAAGTTATCTCTAAAATTTTTACTATACTGTATTGCACGTGTGCTTATAAACATTTTAATATAATATTTCTACCAATTTAACATATAGAATAACAACTCAACAGAACTTTTAAATACACTAATATTTTGTTTCAAATAAAATATATTTAATATAATATTTCTACCAATTTAATATATAGAATAATTAACAACTCAACATAATTTTTAAATGGTACTAATATTTTGTTTCAAATAAAATATATTATTCGTTGTCAATTTTTCTTTCTTAAGAAAACAACAATAATCTTTTTGTGTGTTTTCTTAAATTATTTACTCATTCTTTTATTTTTTGTATATTATGTAATAAGGAAGAATGAACCAAAATTAAAGAATTGAAATTTGAGAGAGAAACTGAATACGATGAATGCCATGAAATCATTGAAAAAATGTGGAATAAAGAATCACATAACCAAGAAAAATAAAATAAGAACAACAACAATCAAAAAGTCATATTAAGATAAATAAAAAAACTAATACTAAAATATAACATGAACCTATTTTAAAACGTGAAAAGAACCTTAACTAAATATTAAATCAAACTTGAAAATAACATTAACTAAATATTAAAACACAAAGGTATCATGAATATATAACTTAAAAGTAATACACATAAAAATATTAAAATAATCTAAAAGAAATAAAATTTGAAGATAATACGAATACGTGATTTTGTTACTCTACCTCTTAATCGATTAAATATGTTTCTGGAATCTCAAATATTCTTTTGACACGGTTCAGTTTTCACTCATGAAGATAAGAAAAATCTTCATTAATATTTTGGAAATAAGTTTTAGGTCATAAAAGAAAAAGACATAATCTTTCATTTTATAGATTATTTGGTATGACATCTATACGTGGATAGATGCATCACTTCAAATAGTTGTAATTTTCATTGGATTAACTTCTCTCAACACACATTTTCACTCGAATAGTTATAACTCTTTTGGATTAAACTCCTTGTTTGATCGAATGGTCACAACTTTTTGGATTTATTATCTCAATAGACACTTTAAGAAGGACAAAATAGATATATATTCAAAAGTTGGGGGCAAAATGGAAAGACAAATATTCTCCTCCATAGTCCCATTTAGATATAGATATATTTTGGTTATGGTTAATTACCTTTTCAAAGTTCAACCAAAATAAGAAAACAAAACATAAAATAATGTTTTTAAAATATATATAGATATTATTTTATTTTATAATATTAAAATTAGTCCCCACTTAAAATCTAACCTTTTTTGGTTTAAAAAATTAAAAAATTGACCATTCATTATTTTTTTAAAAAATGTCAATTTTTTGTATCTCCGTCTCATTGTCGGGATCATGAGTGTTTTCCAATTATACTTTAAAACCAAAAGACAAAATCCAAAAAGTGATGTGTTTGTATACTCAATATCTCAAAATATATCTGAAAGGTCCCATTACAAGTTAAATAAAGTGTTAGTGCACAACAAGTATAACTTTAAACTTAATGTAAAAAAAAAAAAAAAGATTTAAAAAGACAGTTTTGTTCTTGAAAAAGCAGTCCCACTTGTCTTGAATTATTGAGCGAAAAAGTTGATTGTTCAGAGCTCGTACAGAAAATTAAAATTAGGAGACAAATCATTCAGAAATTTGGAAGTAAATTTCAATGGTTTTGATCACATTTAGGGAATGGATCAAAGCCAGTGTTGACAAAATTCAGAAGAGGGCTAAAGAGAGGTTGAGGAAGACGATCCCATTCATACCAGTCCCAGCCATCGCACTTCTCCGGCTCCAAATTCCGAGCAATCTGGTCCGGATCCGCCAATGTTGCGCGCATGAAGATCACCACGTAATGCGACGGACTCGGATTATCCAGAAACAGATTGTTCGTCGCAGTAATGAACTCGATTTTCTCGATGTCCAAACCGGTCTCCTCCTTCAATTCCCTCGCCGCACACTCCTCGAAACTCTCCCCTGAAAAGATTGGTAAACGGAAGGTTTGATTTCAGATTTCCGCAGAATCCGTGGAGTTTGAAGCAAATCCACAAATGGCTGTCCGATTAAGCCGTAGTTTAAAGAGATTAAACCGATTTTGGTTGAGAATTAGGGCTGGAACTGGAAGTAGAGACTAAAAGCAGAATCGGAAATCTGAATGGGAAAAAGAGGGAAAGAGAAGAGTAATGGGACGAACCGAACTCGAGGTGGCCACCGGGGACGGCGAATGTGGAGTCTCCGTGGGGGACGCGGCGGCGGCCCATGAGCACGGATTTTCCTTTGAAAAGGAAGACTGCTACGCCTACAGTCGGCGGCGGCGGCGGCGGCGGGTTGTCCATGTTGGTGGAACAGAGTTGCGGGTGACTGCAAGGGCAGAGGAGCGGGTGGAAGTGGGAGTGGGACTGATGGTGGTTATTTGGCTATTAAATATTATTGCCGATATAGTCCATATATTGGACGTTGACATGATAAATCGATATTTCTAAAAAATGTAAAAAATATGAGCAAAATTTCACTCCTATTCACGTAATATTAATATTAATCATTTTTAATTTATTTTTAAATGTAGAAACAATTATTTGTCCATTAACATTTTTATGAATTTAAATTTCAATATTTCTATCGACATTAACATATAAAACCTTGGTGCTATCACGAGGTATTAAGCATCTGTCTACATTTCCATGACATCCATGAGTTCGATATTACAAAAAAAAATCGACAAAATATGAAAGATAAATAAAATAGCACTAGTATATACATAATATTAATATTAATCATTTTTAACTTATTTAGAAATGGTGGAAGACTTAATTGTTAATTTAAATATTTTTTATAATTTTTTTTATTTTATAATCTTCCCAAAAATATCGATCAATATTTTATTGATATTTCTATCAACATTTTCATGAAATTGAGATGTCGACATTTTCATACATTTAAAACATGGGTATTCACAACTTCTATTATTTTAATTTATGTATTATAAATTTAAGGTCAAATTGCATAGATCACTCCGTTGTTATAATTACACTCCTAAAATTTCAATTACAAAAATTAAAATCTCGAACTTTTTCGTAAATGAAAATATTAGACCCCAAAGTTTTTAATCGTAAAATCAAATCCTCAAACTTCAAAAAATTAGATCTATTTACTCTATTTCTTCTCTCTCATCTAATTTTTACAAATTAAAAGTTTAGGAGTGCAATTTTCTCTAATTTAAGGGTTTAATTTTTACTATTGAAGTTTTGGAGTCTAATTTTTTGAGGGTTTAATTTGACAATTGTAATAACTACCGTTTTAATTTTTACAAAAAAATCCTGGATTAGAATTCCACCCCACATATTATTGTAATAAAAAAAGTGTTAATTAAAGTTAAATTACAATTTTTGATTTTTGAACTTTTTGATAGCGTTTGAGGTATGAGATATACATTTTGAGCAACGGGTTGAGACTTCTCACTTAGCCTTTTAAGTTGAAGGTCTAGGATTAAATAGACACGACTAAGAAAGTTTAATATTTAAGGCACAGCCTCAAAAATTCTTAAACAAAGCTTATAATTTAAACTTAATTGGAATGACAAGTGAGAGATTAATAAAATTTTGATATAAAATATGATCAATCCATCCAATCAATCAAATCAGTTTTCAAAACAGGCATACAAATTTTGGTAATTGTAATAAATTCTAAATAAAAAGGAGTGTTAAGAATATTTACACGTAGATTAAATACATTATAACTTACTTAAGCTTAAACTTTTAAGTTTAATAACGGTTTAAAATTGTTTTTCTGCAAAAATGTTTATATCCAGATATTTTCCAACAATGCTAATAAACTGTGTCACCCAGCAATGATCTTGATCAACCCAAAAAAAAAGTGAATTAAAAATTGTGGCATATGACATGATATGGTCTGTAAGATGTAAAAGTTGGAAACTTTTGAAGTTATGATCAACAAAGGTGTGAATTTACATGGTAGCTTCTTTCTCAGGATCAGCTTCAACTGGCACAGCTGGTGTATTGTTTCCACCTCTCAGACGTGAAGATACATTGTCAATGGCAGAATTCAATTGGCCTATTTTTGCATTCAACGTCTGTCTGGTTTTCTGCTTTTCACAAAAATCAAGCTTTACTAAGATATATATATACAGAGTTCCCATCCAAGAAAACTTTTCCAATGAGCTACGAGAGATAGAAGATTGTAATTACAGATGGAGACAATTTAGACGTTCGAATCTTTTTTTTGTTTGTTTACAGGTTGAGTAAACAAATCAAAAAGCTTCATTGTTAGTTTACTGAGGTTTTCATGCTAACATGACACAGCGTGTGTTCACATCGACAAGTCTCGGTAAATGACAAATCTAGTGTATGAACTTCATAGAGGGTGCCTATTTGTCCATAAATTTAAAAAGGAAAAAAAAAAACCAATTATGTCCCTAAATTTTGGGTTGTGATTCTATATGGTTTCTGATTGAACAAAACATTGGCAATTGAACAAAATAAATACAGACTGCTAAAGCAATAGAATAATTTAGGTACATAATTGAAAATTTTGAAAATTTAGAGTAGGATTAGATTTATAAGCTTAATTTTTATTTGATGTAGGAAACTAAGTCTCATAAGAAAAAAAACGTATCTATAAAAAGGGCAAGTCATTAGAATTACCTCTAAACCTTCGTCATAGTAGATTGGACGCTTGGCCCTCCGAAAACCGTACTCGTCTTCATTTAGTAGAGATCTCCTGATCTGCATAAGGTGCACACGATCACAAGGGCAAGAAATGGAAATTTCATACTAGGACAAGCTACATGATTCACTCAAAGAAGCTTAAGAAAAAGCCAGAGTATATAACTATCAAACAGGAGCTTATGATGCAGGCCAATTCTAAAATTAATGAAAAGATGAGTAACTAAACGCAACAATGAATCTTATGTGGGGCAAAGAAATCATCAGCCTTCTGAACTAGCTTATTGAGTTGAAAACGACTTCAAAGTAAAACAAGTGCATCAGTTTCCTCAAACATGTAACTGTTAGCTTCATGAAGTCAGATAAAACATACAAATACCCTAACTGAACTAAAACATTGATGGTGATATCAAATCCAAAATCATAATTTCACTTTAGAATAAAACATTCAGTCACCTGCGGAGCAAAAATATAAGCTAAAGTTCCAAATACTGCACCCCCTAGAAGAAAACCAGCAACAAAATCCCCACCTCCACCTCTACCATCACTGTAAAAAAAACAAACTTGTCAAGGCATTACACTTTCATCTTATATATATAAATGTGTTCAGGAAGGAGGGGGGTAGGGATAAATATTGATTAAATATTTATTTTCTTCCTTTTGTGTCCAAGTCGGCTTACTATTGATTAAATATTTATGACAAGCAATTTAAGCGATCAAAATGATACAACTTCAAACAAGCAGCTAATTGATTGAAATAACCATCAATGAAAGGGGAACACGGGATAAAACTGTCAGAGATAGGTTAAAGACTGGGAAGAGGTTTGGTCCCTTTGGTTTAAGAATAATATGATTTTAGAGAGAATGAAATGTTTTGGAAAGAGGTTTAGTCCCTTGCTAGGTTTAAGATGTCTCACTGGTTTGGTTACCAAGAACTTCTATAATTATTTGCTATGCCTTATACTTCTATATTGGAGTCCTTTTTGTAGTTAGTTTGGCTTGGCTTCTTTTGTTGGAATGTCCATATCACATATGCCCTTTTATATTTTTTCATGTTTCTCAATGAAAACTCCATTTCTTGTAAAAGGATAAAAAAAAAAAAAAAGAAAGAAAAAATTTTAAAAATTAGATCTCTTTGCTGTATCTGAATATCCTTTTTCAAATCCCAAACCAAGAAAATTCTTTGTAACTATTAGTCCAGCGGTCCTTCAGAATGCAGGACATAACATCAAACCAGTAGATTACAAAGGAAGGACATCAAACCAGTAGATTACAAAGGAAGGACTTCCCCATGAAATAAATTCCCAGAGTAAATAGAACTGGGCTGCTCTTAGATGGATCATTAAATGCCTGTATCTAAGCTGACAAAATGAAAAACTTTTACGATTGGAGTTTATCTTCCTAATAATCTAGAGATATTGAAAGAAACAAGAGAACTTAGATAGAAGTTTGATATCACCAAAATGACAAAGTAAAGTCAAGATGTTAACTATTTTTTGGCCCCCAGAATATCAATCCAATATAGGTGTCAAAGCATATACATAAGACTAACCCATAGGCATACCACTTGATCCTAAAATATATGGAGCCAAAGAAGATTCTAGTTTCTCCTTCTATTAACCCAGCACCCCTTTTTCTAATAAGCATACATGGTTGGTATTGCAACTACACAATACGATCCATTATTTCACCAAGTTGAACTTTTAGCAACTAAAATCACTCAAAACGCCAACAACATCTGAAATAACTAGATTCACGTAACATAAGAAGCCCAACACTAAGAAGACTAATCCTCCATATCCATCTCAGTTTTCAGTCATGCTGAAATACAGCCAACGTGACCGTTAATAAAAGCAAAGTATTTCAGTCATTTAAAAAATTGAAGTCAATAAGCTTCGTTCATCGAATAATCCAACATAACGTACTTGTACTCTGCACGAACAGATAACTTGCGGTTGGTTCTCAAGCACTTCTTTTGAATGGCGAGTTTTGGTGCTTGCCCAAAGGTAATGGACTTCGAGGAGAGATCTGACGCCTTGATCAATCCCCCTAAACACCGAATAAACGAATAAAAGACATAAGACCCAAGTACAAACGGATTACCAATCCACATCGAACTCGACGAGAAGTAAAAAAGAAATCAATAATCTAATTTTCAAAACCTCTTCAAAGTTACGAAACGTCTATGACAGCAAACCCACACCGAACTCAACGTTAATTGAAATGCGAAATCAATGTTCCAGGGACACTGAACACGATCATTATTTTATTTATAAAATTACCTGTTTGCGAACAGGCGATAATCGTTTAGGAAAAAGTTCGACCTACTCGATCACTCGAGACAAACACACAATCATGTGAATTGAGAACATGCATATGGAAATGAAAGCCTTGAAGTGCAATATTGAGATAGAAAAGAGAGGATTTACCAGACACGGACAGCGAAGGAGCGAAGCAGGCGGCCATGGGCAAGAACGAGAGCAGAGATGTAGAGAGAATTCAAGCAAAATTAAGAAGAGAGAGAGGAAGAACAAAGAGCGGGCGGGCGAGTCGAGAGTGGAGAAGATAGCTGGCTTATTGTTAGCCTCTATTACCTATTTTATAATAATTAACTAAATTTTTTTTAATTTTCCAACTTGAGCATAGCTCATATTATAATCTCGAAAAAAAAAACTAGGATAGAAATGTATCAATTTCATGAAATGTGAATAAAAATATTAACAAAAATCAAGAAAAATTCAAAAAAAAAAAGTACGTAAATTAATAAATAAGTATTTTATGGTTAAAATTTTTTATTATTTAATGTTAGGGCAAATATAATTTTACCTTTGAGGTTTAGAGTTGGTATCTCTTTGGTCTTTAAGGTTTTAAAAATGATACTCAAGTTTGAAAAATGGTTTGAAATGATTGATATTTCCTATAGTTGGTTGATTTTTTTACAATATAATGGAAATGTCAATTCACTCCTATATCGATTTTGAATTCATTGATATATTGGAGTGTCAATGAAATTGTCGGACATGTTGATGAAACTTCAATGCTCTCTGCTAGCTACTAATTTATTGCTCAATTAATTAATTATTAATTGAAAATATAAACATCAACTTGAGAGAGCGAAGCACGCTCTCTCCCAGCGTGCTGTTGTATTAAGAAAAAATCAAATATAAAATGTGAATATTTATAGAAATTTTTATCTTTATTATTTGTCTTTATTTGATACCTATTTTAAAACATAGTAATTTTATCAACTTGAGTATAACTTAAGTGTCTAAGTTGAGTGTTGTAATCTCCCAGTTATATTCTAAAAATTTGTAAGGTTTATTTTAAGAATAATGGTTCTAAATTCATAAGATAAAAGCACAGTTTAGTAGAGTTTATGTTCAACTACTTAAATTTATTGACATTAAATTTCTTGGAAATGAATGATTAATGAAACAAATAGCGACCCTAACACTAACACTATGCCCCTATAATCCCCATCACCCCGTGCCTAAAATTAAAATAATTAGGAAACTTTGTAGTGTGGATGATCTATAGGATGATTAATCACTTTTAAAAGTTGATAGATAGAAATACCCTCAAGTTTGACACAAATAAAGTCTATGACTGAGTGTCTAGTCAGATTTTCTTAAAATTTTATATGCACCTAGATTGAGGAAAAAGTTACCCTTTAAGAGACCTAAGATAAGACCTTACCTTTTTCTTTCTATATTTTGAATGTTTTACAACTGTAAATCCTTGAGAGAACATCCGCGACCTTCTTATTGCTACAAACAAGTCAAATTAACATTTTAGTTGCAACGTTCCTAAACCAACAAGTTTTGAAGTTACAACATTTTCGCAAAATATTTGAAGAAACTCCTTCAATATTAGTAAGAGTAAAGTATTTAAAAGGACATAGACAAACAGGAGGGAAGCAGCAGAGAGACAAAAGTATTGGTCTGTAATACCCGACTGTTAACAAGCAAATATTATTTCTGTTGCAGTTCTACTTATATATACAAACGGCCGTAATTCTGATCTTGAAATCAAAAGTGCTCAAATATGAATAAACTAAAAGCAGAACCCAGAAAAAGGGGAAAAAGGGGGTAAAATAATTACTGGTATATACTTTTGAGAGGGATATGAACAGATGGGAAAGCGGGTTCTCGCAAAGAGCCCTTGAAAGATCAACTAACATAACCTGGTATACATTTTGCCGAATCCAATTCCGACACCATAAAGATGTGAGTAACAACAACATCATGCCTATTTCTCTGACAAACCCCCAAACAAAAGCAGTGAAGTATTCACGTGCCGCCGATCGGGTAGCAGCTGTTCTGATTTCGAAACGGTTTTCCCCGTTTGTTGCTTGTCTGGGAATGGGAACGACAAAGACAATGTTAGGGACGTAGAGTCGTCATCTTCTTCGCCATCTATCGCCTTTTCTGAGGACTCGCTGAGGTTATGTTTCTCATCCACTAAACCCATAAAGAAAGGGATCATACTCTTCTTTGGTAGCTTAGTCTCTGCACCCAACGCAAGCTCGAGGTTTGGCACTGCATCGCGATATTGATCCTCGTCTTTGGCTGGAAGTGTTAAGTCTATTTGATGTGATGAATCCACGGGAAATAAGTGCTTTTCAGCAGTATCAAAATCTTCTGGAGTAACGTTCACATCATAAGTTTTACCACCACCCTTTTTCTGAAATAAAAACGTAGGACCAATATCATTGCTTGATGAGACGTAAGCATCAGATTGGGAAATCATACCACCTGAACTACTGCTACTATTTTCATACGAGTTTCCAAAGCCTGTCCTCGGCTTTTTGCTGACATTATCTTCATCCAGCACTATACAATCAACCTCATCCCAAGAAGTACGTCTTTTAGCACCAAAAGAAACCGGAGGTGCTGACGACTCTAAGATATCGATGTGTCGACATTTTCTGTGATGGGACTCCAGACAATTGATTCCTTCAATATTTAAATCTCTTTTCGAAAGAGCTTCGGAGTCTGAAATCCCTTCTGCCGTGTGGAGCACAACTCTCTCTCCTTCACAAACCAATCTATCTACAATTTTCTCACCAGCACTCGCCTTTTTCATGTCATCGGTGGTCTTAATATATGGCGGCATATCTTCTGCTGCACCGAAGTCCAGCTTCAACTTCCTATCATCATTAACTCCTACAATTTCTTTAACTTGAATAGATGGTTCAAATTGCTCGCCTCGTATGCACTCTGAACGACCAGATTCTTTCTGCACAGTAGGAGAACGTCAGTGCATCTAAATATCAAGAGGGAAAAAGCAAGTTAAGACTGAGGAAGAACTGGCCCGACTGAATAAAAAGGGGAAATAGAGACGAATGCCACAAAAAAGATAATGATACAGAAACAAAGAGAAAAAGTGTCACAAGGAAATGGGCTAGAGGAGATAAAAGGGAGGTTAAAGAACATAATAACTTGGAATTCAGTTCCATTTCCTATAATCAGAAAGATGAAATTCAGAGTCACAACAAGTTCGAGACAGATATCCAATGGACAACAAAAAACCAAGTTCTAATCCATATTATATTCATCTCCGAAATAAGCCCACCTAATCATCAATCAATTCACCCAAATAACTGATGGGCACACTTAGCATCACATTAGATTTTCAGTTCATCCAAGCACCTCTCAATCTTCTGCAAGAAAGCCTTCATAGTTTGCTGGTTCTGGCAGGTTAAACCAAGGTCTAGTCAAAAGAAACAAAACAACAATGTAGAAAATAGCGATCTAATCTGTTAAGAAGAACTAGGATTATGAATGGGGAATGAGCGAAACATAAGGTAATCATAAATACCGACAATTCAGAAGGAATTGAAAAAACTTGGCACGAAAGAGCAAAATACAAAAATCATCCACCCTATCCATTTTACAACCAAATTACAACCAAAGACTGATTAAATTTTAAAGGACACAAATTATACATCGGTTCCTAAGTTTCAAATTTTGACATTTTAACCTTTAGTTTCATTTGGTAACATTCTCATTTCTTATTTCTCGTTTTCAATTTTCTTAAGAAATCTAAGTATTTTACAACTAACTTTATTTCTTGTTTCTCCTTTTTCGAGAACATTCTCACAAGTCACAATTGTATAGAAATTTTGGAAACAACCAAAACAAGTTTATCCTTTCTTGTGCCCATTTCCCATTTGTTCCAAAACATAAATGAAAATATTGTTTTATCATTTGAAGGTTTGAACCATGCAATACATTTTTCTTCATTAAAAATAAAAAAACGGAAACAAGAAACAAGAACTTTACCAAACGGGCCCTAAAGAACCTTTGCCGTTAGCTTCCATCACTACAGTAACAAAACATTGATGGGACATAATATTAATTAATTGTATTAACAGTTCAATAAAAGACAATTTTCATATTTTCTCGTTGCTTTGGGGCAAAATCATTAATTAAACCTATAATTATTTATTTACTAACTAAAATCAATTTAAACATACCAATAATTAAACACACAAGACATAAAATTAGATACCAAAACTCCAACTTTTCTCATTGCTCACCGTTGCAACCTGAAATTTGAAGCATTAAATGGGATCCTTACTATTTCATTTCGTAAATGGGTGGTATCAGCATCCCAACTTCAGGACCTCTCTCTGGAGGGTCAGTGAAATGAGGAGGGAGGATAATTGGCTTGGTTTAAATTGATGAAAACATTCAGATTCGAGAAGGATAAAATTGGGCATCAGAGCAAAGCAGTAGGAAATCTAGAGGAGAGAAAGGGGAAGGTAGAAAGCAAACAGCATGAACCTGGATCCTATTGAGGAACTTATAAGATTGATAGAGAAGGAAAGTAATCTGAGGACGAAGTTGGAAAAAGGACCTACATAAAAGCTAAGACTTCACGAGGAGTGTATGTTGGTTCAAAGATGCAGGGTTAAACAGCTAAGAGAAGGGATGAGAATTCAAAGCAGAGAGGATTTGAATTGATTTTGAGTCATAGTGGCGTTGGCCAAACATATGATTCTGAAATCTAGAGGAAGAATCTTCTTTTCCAAGAATTGAATACAAGAGGTAAAAATGACGGTATATATTTTATTTTCTTCTCTTCTTTTAATGAGAAACAAATATTTCATGGATGAGATGGAATATAAAAAAGGGAAGAATCTAGGGGGGTTACAATAAAGCCCTCCAATTCACCATTACAAAAAGTGTTGAAAGGCTGCGATTTGTTGTTGAAGATTCTGTCGTCTCACCATAAGCACCAAACGAAGGCTCTGATGAAGAGAGACCAGAGACACATAGCCTTCCTGTTCCTTTTGAAAGGGTGACCCTCAGAGCTGCTTGTAAAAGGCCGTTTATGTTGGCTACGGTACACATTTTCTTTTCCAAAAGTGTTTTCATGGAATCCACTCACAGAAGCCCAAGGTGGTTGGTTTGAGAGACCTTTCGAGGAAAAGGAAATCTTTAATGCAGTGAAGGCACTAGGGAGCTCTGAAGATCCAGATCCAGATGGCTTTTCAGGCGAGTGCCTTGAAAAGTTCTAAAACATGTTTTAATATGATTTCTTGGAGATGATCCATAGTATGAAAAGTTCTAAAACAACCCCATAAAAAAAATTAAAAAATAAAAAAACCTCAAAAGGTTGAGATGTGGCATTGAAGATCCTGTTGTTTCTTCTCAACAAAATGCTCCATATAAAGGCCGGAACAAATTGAACCCTAAGGATTCCACCCCCTTAATAGGATGATGAATCAACAAGGAGCGAAGGAAGATGGAGGGGCTGTTGTGTAGTATAGTTTGCTATCTTAAGATCTCAAGCATTCTATGCCAGAAAAAGGAGGAAAGGTTGCAAGATATAAAGAGATGACCTTGTGTTTCTGCCACTTTGTAGCATCGATGGCAGCAATTAGGGGATGATAGAGCAATATGGGACAACCTCCTTTGTACCCTATCATGGGTGTTAATAGCTCCATGGCTAAGCTCCCATCAGAAGAATCTAATTTTCCTTGGATAGTTTTCTTTCCAGATGCTATTGTAGAGGGGGAGTGGTAGTTGGTTTTCCAAGGAAGTCAAGAAGGTGAAGACAGATTTTGTGGATAACGTCATAATCTTGAATTTAATGAATCAAGAAAAATGCCTGGTAAGCCATAAGAGCATATGAACATTACCAGATGAGGATAACTAATATTATAGAATTACTTAAAAAGATATATCCAATCAACATATGATACTATGGCAACCTAATCGTAGCTCTAATAGTCAGGGAGAAAACTATATGTTATTGTAGGGGACAGAACATTAACTAAATGAACCATTTCATTACTTCTAAAAACATAAGATTAAAATGTCAGTTTTTGAAAATTAACAACAACAAATTAGACACATGCCATACGGAGAATTCGAACACCACAAGTTTAATTTTCCCTCTAAAAAGTTAGTTAATCGTGCATTTAAAAGGAACATCAAACATATGTCCAGCGATGGATATCTTAAGCCAATTAAAAATTAAACTGCATATAGCTTGCCTGTCCAAGTTGTAATGATTGTAAATTAGAAGTATCATCAAGAACATTAGTTAAACTGGAGAAAGGGAGGAGGGAAACGAGGATAATGAAGAACATAGCAGATATGTGTTGCATGATTGTTGACTGGGATGGTGTGTGCACGCTTGAGATAGAAACATCTCACTCACACAAAGCTATACGAACAAAAATGCAAAAAGAAACATTACCGTGGGAGTAGAGCTAGCCGCTCCTTGACAAAATTCCATACTAGTAGCTATCATTGATGATGCTTTCAGGTCAAACTGACCACCCTGATGGCCAGAAGTTTCAAGGGAATTCAATTGCGTCTGGTGAAAAGAAGATTCACATTTGTGACCATCACTGCTAATTGTGTCAGAAGTTTGGTCCACCAAACTGGATGCTTTGCTTGATTTGGGAGATCTATCACAAGCAAATGATTCTCCATCTACACACTTCGGCAAACAAACATTGTCAGACTTTGTTGCTGTGGTATCAGGGAAGTCCTTGTCTAAAGGCACAGCATCTGTACTACAAATATTAGAAGTCTTCAATGCATCTGAACAGTTCACCTTCTTTCCCCTAAACACGCCCCATAGGAAAAACAGCATATTCCAACCTGAAGGGAAAGGGGGGAAAAGGGGGAGAGAGAGAATCATTATATCCACACACATGCTTATATAAAGAAGTGTCACAGTGATAAACATAAGATGAAAATGATAGATTTCAAACAACTAAGTATTTTTTTTATAAAATATAGTCAAAATCCAAAACATTCCCTTCTGTTTCTACAATTAGGAATCCATCTGAATCTAGATAAAAACAACTGGGGGCTAAATATATTGTTTTTCTTTAATTAGAAACAATTTCATTGATGGAATGAAATTACGAAAGATGGGGGCAAACACCAATCAAAGGGAGTTACAAAAAACTTCTCCAATTAGAAAAGCTGAGCATGATAGCTATAGTAATGAAAAGGGAAAAAGCATTTAGAATTTATCTTTTGAACCCAAGGGGGCTAAACATACTTTTGAAAATTAAGAATTACCAAGAGAATATAAAAGAACTTGAAAAAACTATCAAAACTTGAAGTATACATCTAGGATAAACTAGGCAACCAACAAAGTCAGTAAATAACAACTTTGTCCTTTCAAGATAAATTGTGGAATTTAGCTGATTTGTATATACGATACGAAGAGCTCTTTCTAGAGATAATAATGTTAAACTATATTGTAATATCACCACCTTCACAATAACACAATTGAAGCTAAAACTAGATTCATTACTTCATTCTATTCAGGAGATCGGCACTTTGACTATTGCTCAGACGTGGAATGTCAAGAAAGGAGTTGCTGCTTGGTGGAATTCCAAAAACTCCACTTAGCCTCCTATTTTAGAAAATTTTCCTCGACTAGAAATGGAATATTCCATCACCTCAAGAAGAGGCTTCTAACTTGGTGTAAGAAACCCGTGAAACTACCTACTTATTTGCACTCTGTTTTTCCAATTTCCAGTGCTAGACACAAATTCTCAGAAATTTCTTTGAGAAGGTGCCACTTTGAAGGATATGTCACCAAATTAATCAGAAAGATTGTATCTCCCTTCCCTGAGACTGAGCTGGCTTGGGATTTTCCCATAAACGATAATTCACAAATGATGAACCCAACATACCTCTCTGATTTATAACACAGACCTACAAGCTTTTATTACAACAAATAGGAAACCCACTTCCAGATATGTTCTAACATCATTAACAAAGGACCAACTTGGTAACACAATCCAACAGAACTTCAAAGACATATTTGATACCTGACCAGAAAATTGAAACAATAAAGAATTGAATAAATTCTTACGTTGTGAGCTTTCAGGAAGCTGATTTGAAGTGAATATCAAGAGCTCAGCACCATCGAGGTTTCCTTTGAGTGCTAAATCATTCTTGATCATATGATCCAATAAGCTTCTGTAGTGTCTCTCATAACTGAACCACAAGAAACACATATGAACAAAAGATTAGAGACTTGCATGAAAGCCAAAAGAAGAAAAGATGGAAAATGCTGAAAATGACACCTGTGAATATCTCTTGCAAAAAAGTAAAGAGCAATATTTTCTTCTTTAACACCACAGTCATGGAATTGGGTGGGCCAGGTGCTCAAGCGAGGTACTTCTTTCAAACAAATATTGTGTGGAAGTCTGTTTGCCACTTCAACAACTTTTGGCGATGCACAAGTTGACAGATGAGCCTGAATTCCATCACAGAAATCTGGAAGCTTCCCACCTCTATGTAACTCAAAACAACCCCTTCATGAAGAACAGAAGGCATTTTCAATGTTTAGTAGTCAATGATAAAATGTATCATATTATAATTAGGAAAAAGAAAAATGAAATATATCAACCAAATTAAAAGGAGATAACTAAGGAGAATCTTACTGCCATATATATTCATACTCCGGAATCACTGACATCTTCAGGAAAAGCGAGGTTGTTGAACCATGACCAGACAAATCTTTAATCCAAGCCTTTTCAACATGTATGGCAGTTGAATCTGTATCCTCCAAATTTGAAGGAACAGGAATATCAGGAATGGGAATGGCAAGTGGCTTTGGAATACTTGCAGGTGGTTGCCTATGGCAGTTAGTGGTAGAACTACTGACGACTGTCTTCCCTTCATATGCTCTTTCAGCAGAAATATCATTTTTTAACTTGTTTGACAATGAATATTGATCTTGATGCACCGTATCACTATTCAAGACTGTGCTTGATGAGGAAACCTCATCAGATTGGTCATTAAATTTTCGCTTTTTGTATATTACAGGCCTTCTAAGCAATGCTGCCTGAATTGCAGCTTTCAGCTTATTATCTTCATGTGTCTCCTCTCTAGAGCTAACTATATTATTATCAGCAACATAAGAACTACCATTAGTACATGATTCTGTAGCATGTTCCGTTCCTTTACATTTTTGACAGTGACCACTTCTTGGACTAATAGAGACAGTGGGGTTTGATAGACTCGCAGAACTCTCCCTATTTTTCTCATCTTGCCCTGTCATTTCTCGTGACCTTCCATTTTCAGTATAAGGTGGTCTCTCAACAGTTAAGAAACTAGATAATGGTTCTTCCTTGGGACTAACATGATTTGTCTTTTGATCAACAGGAGAAGAACTACATATTCCATTGGAGGATAAAGCTCTAACTGTAGAAATGAAAAAACATATATTAATTTAAAGCCTTAGCATCAGCAAACACAAAACATATAGAACTTGCAAAACTCTGAAATAAGTGAATAAGAGCACCCTGCACAAAGAAGCAAATATGATATCAGATCTATCCAATCATCAGAAGTGTCATACCTGAACCAAGTGGATTATCAACACCCTTATGAACTAGACTGCTTTTCAATTTTGGGTGAGTACTTGAGACTCCATCAGATTGCAAAACTTTTTGATCACGATTATTGCTCACAGGTGATACCAAAGTTGTTTCACCACGCATTGAGAGCTTTTGATCAACCTTAGACGTAGAGACTGCAGAACTTGTTGTTACCGAACCAATCCAGGACCGATCTACTTTTGATGGATTTTTCCTATCAAATATATTCCTGTCCTTCACTTGTTTTATACCTTTTGGATCCTGGACGTGAGAAAATTTAGATGGTAGCATTTTAACTTTTGATTCACTCATGCTTATACGGCTGGAATTTGGATTTTTGAACGACTGAGATTTTCCTAATGCTCTGGCTGGCCCCTCCTTAACGTCAAGGGAGGTATGTTCTCTACCTGCCCTCTGCTTTTGAGGTATAAACTCATCTACAAGTTTAACCTTTGGTTTGGAATTAAAGGTGTTGAACGAATTAGACTTTGAAAGGGTACCTGTATGTTGAAGGATAGACAAACGCATAAACAATAAACAATTTTGCACAGACATGAGGTGAAGAAGATTAAGAAATTAAGAAAGGACCACAAAAGGCTACTTATTTACCCTTTAGTGTCTGAAGTCTAGGACCGACAGATGGTGAGCGTGCCATTTCTGTAATGTCATTACTGCATTGATCACCCAAACACTTTGATTGAGAAAGCATCAATTTCCCTTTATCTAAGCTTTTTGATGAAGAGTCACGGGTCAATCCAATATTCCTACTGGGGCTGGATGCTTTTGTTGAGTCTTTGTTAGTTTCAAGGACCTGTCTTTTTGCAGTTACAGAAACATCAACATTTTCCACGTTCTTCTTGCCAAAATTTCTCATGCTTGAGCTATCTCTGCTTACTCTTTTTCCCTCAGCATCTAAGCATTCAGTGTAGCAATAAAATTAAAAATAATAATAATAGTGTCCTTGAAATTGACATCCAGTTTTCAGCATTTCTCTTACCATAAACTTGGGTACTTGGACTAACTATATTTGTTCTTCTCCCTTCGTCCTTTTTTTTATAGGAAACGCAACTTTTCCCTTCAACATCTGAAAATTAATAGCACAGTAAGATCATAATGTGCTCCCAAACCCAAAAACATATATGCATAAATTCTCTGTTCCCTCTTCTTCTCAGTTATTACAGTTGCATAAATTTCAATGTCACCTTGCTTCTGGTTTTCATTTTCTTCTGCTGATTTGCATTCCTCACACAGCCAGTCACCTTCAGGAACATTTTCAAGCATTTCTCGCATGCAATAGCTGATATAGAAAATTATTGGTACACTTGATAAGTTTTTGAAGAGAGAAAGCAATCAAAATAATACAGAACCATGCCAAAGAATAGTTTCAATGGAAAGGTTACATCCTTACGTGTGTTCTGCACCATCAGTGCACCTACTACATACAGCAAGCAAATCCTCACGACCAGCATCTCCACAAATATCACAAACTTTGACCTGATTCCCAATGGGAGTGGGAGAATATCCAGAGTTCAAAATCAAACTAAAAATTTTCAGGAAGAGAGAATGATAGAGATTATGCAATGAAGCAAATTCCCGATGAAACAAAAAATAATGGTAAGACAAAATGAGAGAGGAAGAGCTATAAAAGTTCACAATAAAAGATTCTCTAAAGCTTGGGGAAAAAATAATGGTAAGACAAAATGAGAGAGGAAGAGCTATAAAAGTTCACAATAAAAGATTCTCTAAAGCTTGGGGAAAAAAGGAAAAGCAGCAATCACATGCCAACGAAAAATGAGCATATGCAAGCCACCAAAATCATGTTAGAAAATGATAATCCTCACTCATTTGTCTCAGTAGTCCAAAAGCACCTTCACAGTAGCCCCTCCCCGTATAAATCGGACCTAATAAGTAACAGGCATGGCCAAATCATGACATCATCTAAGATACTAAACCCATTGACATTTACTTGTATGTGGTCACCCATTAACCTTCAAGCAAGAACTAGAGAAAAGCAAACCAAAACGAGTGGTAATTTAGATGGAGACTAATTAACACACGATTAATCAGGAATAACATAATATCAAGCTTCTTCATGAATATTTAGATTCAGAAGATTTAATCCAGAATCCCAGCCTATCTCTTCTCCTCCCATAAATCACAATCCTAAGAACCATAACTACATGAAAACATATATAACCAACGTACCCAAACATTGTGAGATGCACCAAAAAACATTCTGCGGTAATAACCAACGAATGCATAGAATAAGTGAAAGGCAATCGAAGAATTTGTAGAATTGAAGTTCCAAAGAGATAATAAAAAGGACTTCATAAATAAAAAGAATTTCAATCCAACTCACATCGTGCTCTACAATATCTGATTCATCACTCTCATATCCAGATGTAGATTGCAAATGGGACTCCTTCACATCTGGTGACCCTGACAAGCCCTTGAAAGTCTCATCTCGCTCATCTTCATACTGATTTTTCACATCTCCATCAGGAGGCTCACTTCCATCAACAAGAATCTCTTCTGACTTTAGTAACAATTGCGAAGAAACATTGAAATCATCACCACCATCGTTGGAAGTGTTGGTAATGGATTTCTGACCACAAGGTGGAGCAGTAACTACTTCTCGAGTTAAAGAGTCATCATGTACCAAAGATGATTCTAATGGCTCTCCCTTCACACAAATGGATGGATCCTGTTCAAAACCCATTCCAGATAATGGTCTACCACTTGTAGAAATAGAATGCAGAGTACGAGTCTCTGTTGAGCTGCTGTGAACGTATGTAGAAGCAGGAGTCTTGGAAAGATCTACCTTGGAGGAAAATACTACCCTATTAGATCCTTCTGGATGTAAACTGTCCACTGAAGCAGAGCCACACGAAAATTTTTTCTTGTCCATAGTCTCTTTGTGAGAAACAACTGCCATATTTGCATTGCTAGATCCACTAACACATGAAATGTTGTCATCATGGCCCTCTGCACCTTTAATACTCTCATGAGTCTCTGAGATGGCTTGAATGGATGACTCGGTAGCAATATGTCCCTCTGCAACTATTCCACCAAATAACTTTTTGTGCATGTCAATGTCTGCTGAAAAATCAGCCGCATCAGATGACCTTATTGTTGCCATACTATCAGCATTTTCAGAAAAGGAATCGTGGCTAGAGTTTACACTTAGTAGATTACTTGTCTCACTTGTAGCATGTAGTGAGCTATCACAAGCTCTACTCTTTACAGAGGATATAGCATCGGTATCATTAGCAGAATACTGAGTCGTAGCATTTACACGACTGGTTTCATCAGAATGTTCTTCAGTTTTCGACACTGAAAGAGCTCGTTTAAGATGCATACAAGATGAACAAGGAGCAGAACACACGTTACAAGTTCCAGACTCGCCTCTCATATGAACTGTCTGATTCATGAAGTAGTTGGTAAATCTTTTTCTTGATCGAGGGGATACCTAAAGAAATGAAATAAGATTAGCAATTTAGCAGTAGAGAATTTACATTTTTTCTTTCTTTTTTTTCTGGAAGGGGGAGAATTGGTTGTTGTAGGGTTCTTTTATGAGTATCTATTGAGGGAGAGACCTAATCCTTTTCTTTTCAAATGATAGCAGCCTGACTCCTGATGTTAAAGAAACACATGCAGCTCTTAACTCAGAACACATTCAATAACAATGTTACTGGCAAAACTCATAAGGTTTTAGTAACTGTAAAACTAAATAAATAAGCAGCCAATCATTCTTCACCATTACAGCTAGAGTGAGAATGAAATATCAATACAATATATCACTACAAACCAGTATACGGAGGAATTAAATATCCAAGATGTGAACTTATAAGCCAAGCTATTGCTATGTCTTGTTTCAACTGTTAACACTCAACACCATTGAAAATGTTCTACGTTTTCAACAAGGAAGAACACCCCGTAATTAGTTTAGAAATAAAAATCTTAAAAGAGACCTTTTTTTCCTATGATATCAGAGATTAAGATATACAGCAGAACAAAAATTAACTTAACCATTGAAAGTAAATTACCCTGTTATCTCACCATATTCCTCCGAATGTCATTGTCAGTCTCATCAATAGGCCCTTGAATGCGACAACTCCCTCTCAGAACTGGTGTGATCTAAAAAGCAAGCAGAAACGACGTTAATAATCATCCTCCTACATTCAGAAAAAAACCAACAAATCAAGGCATAAAATAATTGTACGGGTACCATTGCCCAGCTGCCAGTGAAAACAAGCAATAACACCTCTTAACAGCAACAGCAAAAAGAATTAAACACAACGCGACTGCTTATACAGAAGACAACAGAGACGTACAAACCCAGAAATAAAGACGAGAAAAATGTTCCGGTTTCAGTAAAGAACCCTAATTCCGAAAACACAAGCAAACCAATCCCACATCAAACAGACGCAATATTGTCGTACAAATTGGAGCAAGCAACCAATCCATTCCAAAAAAAAATAAATAAAACCCAAACAAAAATCCGATCAAACTCCGAACAAGAACAAGAATCAAATTAACCCAAATCCAAAACGAACCAAAAAAAAAAAAAAAACCCTAAATTGAAAGCGATTACATGCCTTCGGCTCTAAAACCGCCTCCGTATCATCGTAGAGCCCGTCCACAGTCCGCTCCCTCCTCTTCGCCGCCATCACCGACACGATCGGCCACACTCCCGAATAACCCGTCCCTGTAGCAGTCGATGATAATAGTCCAAATCCTCCACCCCAAATCACTCCCTCTCCTTCAGTCCTCTCGAATTGAAGAAATTCTGGACTAGGTTTATGTAAAATTATACACAATATAAATTGGTAATCGTACAATTACAACAGGGTTCTTACACAGATAACAACCCAGATGAGAGCAGCTTGAGGATCTGGTAACTAATAGTAAAACGAAAGAACCAAAATTAAAAATAAATAATATTATATTGGCGAAAAACGAAACCCCACACAGTACTTTTTTTATTTAATTATCTCGCTAATTCTTCCTTCTACCATTCGAGTATGTATAGGTATAAAAGTTCAAAGAAAATCCAATCCAACTACAGCTCCCCTTGCCCCCTCTGTCTTCTCTCTCTCTCTCTCTCTCTCTCTCTGTTTTTTTTTTCTTTTTTTTTTTCCTTTTTCTCCCTCTCCGATTCTCAAATTTTCTCTCCTAGATTTTCCCGAGAAAATGAGCAAGTAAATAAGGGAGGGCATTAAATTTAAAGGCCCTTATAAATTTCCGCATTTATGAATTTATAAAGTGATTTTAAAGAGCCTTTGCCAAATGCCATGCTATCGCTTATTTATTAATTCCAAAATACATTAATTAATCTTTTTTGGTTTACGGCCGGGGAGGGTGTTAGAGAAAAATGTAAATTGTGAATTAATAATATTTAGTCTACTCGTCAACTAGAGCATATAGTTTATTGGATTAAGGCATGTGTATTCAAATATAAAATTGAGATTTCGGATCTCTATATATATTCGTGTTAGAATATGAAACAACATGATAATTAATGTTCCAATTTTTTCCCAAGAGTCTTCTCCCTCCATTGTCTTGAAAGAATACCCTATTTTTCTTAAGTCTCATTTTAAAAACTCATACTTCTTAACTTTTCTAATTAAATTCAGGCAACCTTCTTATTCAAATTTCCATTTAAAATATTAACGAATATTTGTTTAAATAATATTTTTGAAACATGTGTGAAAGGTCGAGAATAATACTAATATTTTTAAAGGAATAAAGTATTTTGGAGATATTTTTATAATTTAGACTAAATTTTGTTTTTATAAAAGCGGGAACACGTGCGAGGAAGACACACGCGTGGGTGGGGAGGGGGAAATAATGGGCACGTGATTGGCATGTGGATTTCGGGTAAGAGAGCATCGAGCTATCGTGCGCCGGGTGGTCCCGGATTACGTGCCTCACATTTTTTCACCAATTTTGATTTTTTTGATAGAGATACCCTTTTTATTAATTTAAAGATAGAAACTCGTGTGCTTTGCATCAATAGGAGATTGACACGTGCCCTCCTCACTGGAAGCATATATCTTCCCGTTTCGTGATTGGTGGGCTAATACGTGACAGCCAAGTAATTGTAGTTTTCCCTTCTTTGCTTAACAGAGGAAAATAAAGACTTCCACAAGAAATTGAAATTAATAGAAAATTGGGACTCTGGGAGTGTGAATGTAGTTTATGTTGTCAAACTATTAAATTTGTTCGAAAGATTCCCGTTTTGTTTAATCAATCGAGTTATATTTAGGGTGACAAATAATTTTTTATTTGTTTTATTTTTATATGTTTAATGTGTACGAAAATTTATTTAAAAAAAATGTTGCTAAAATTTGTTAAGCAAGATTTTGGTGGATCATCGAATTTTTGTTTTTATTTACCTAATTGGACATGTGGACATACTATCACGATGCTACTTTAGTACTTGACACATTACATCGAGCTTGTTGATGAACAAATCACGATATGTCCAATCCAAATATATCAATAAAATGCACATCATTGTTTTGTTTACAAATTTTAAGAATTTTTTTTAAGGACTTAATTGATCATTTCCAATACATTAGAGAAAATTTGAAAATTGCATAAAAGATTAGAGGTCATTTGGTATATTTAATCTTATGTTTTTTTTATAGGTTGTAGATTTAATCGGAAAAAACGAAGTGTTTAATTTGAGGGATTTATTAAATAAAAATATGAACTTAACAATATGATTATTATTTGCATATTAGCTTCAATCTTTTGGGTTATAAACTCTTTTTGTGGAGGTGTATTATTTGATTCACATATGTAAACGCGATCAATGTATACACCTACTATTTTGGAGACAACTTTGACAACTTAACGAGACTTTAGAAAAAGCTTATAAGAGATTACTACACTAGAAAATTCTCCTAAAATTGTTGTGAAATAACTAAGAAGTTTCCCGATCCTTGGTAGTGTGGCAAAAGCTCTATACTTAGAGCTTATCTGACAACGTTTATATTTCTTGTTTTTTATTTCATTTTTTTCGATAAATAAAAATATCAATGCGTTTGCCAACTGTTTCTTGTTTATTTTTTCCTTTTGTTGAAAAAAAAACAAAAATATATTTGATAATCATTTCTTATTTCTTGTTATTTAAAATTATAAACTAAAAAAAATTAAAATTTTTAATTAAGTATTCAAAATTTTTATGTCATATTTATATTTTAATATTTATTATGCATTTTATAAAAGATGATAGCCAACATAAGTACAACCAGTTAAGTCATCTTTCATCTAAGGCTTTTTGATAACTTTCTTGTTTCGTATTTTATAATAAAGAAAAATATATATCGCATTTGACAAATATTCATTGTTTATTTTTTTAACTGAAGAAAAAAAGACAGAACCCATTAMATTTAAAATTTAAAAATAAAAATTTTATATGAAAAATAATTTTTAAAATTAAATATTCAAATCTTTTATGTTATTATTACCATTTAATATTTATTATGCATTTTATAAGTCAATAATAACAAAAACAATATTTTCATATATATTTCATAGAAAAAATTGAAAACAAAAAAATAGATTTTATTATTTCCAAAATTTGTATACAATTTAAAAACTAAAAAATGATAAACAATAAACATAAATAGTCAGCTATTAGGTTTCCTAATAAAATTAGAAACGAGAAACAAGAAAGGTGAAAAACGACAATACCATAATTTTAAAAACTCAATATTTTTACTATTGATTTTTAGAAAATTTTAAATTTGTCAATAATTGTTGTAATTTAATTAATAACCTATGCAAACTAGTACATAGGTTTTTGAAATCTGCAAAGATATGAAAGTATTTCAGTCAATTTAGTAATAATAAGGAAGGGAAAAATAAATTAAAGATGGAGAAAATAATGGATGACACGAGACTTGAAATATTTTGAAATTGTGAATAAATGAAAGAGTAATAATAATAACTATACATTAAATGTTTTCTTCCATAATGGGATAGCAAACGCCACCTCTGCCTGCCAAACCATTTTTCCCCAAACCTACCTATTCTATTTCTCTCCCTAATTTATTATTATTATTTTTTTAATTTAAGATGATTTTTGAGTGGGTAAAAATGTCATTCTAACCTATTAGAAGTGCCTTTGTCCAAATCTTTTAACATTATTAAAGTAAATTGACATGATATAGCCGTCTCCAACAAAAAGATCCTAAATTGAAATGAAAAAATTAATATATATTTTTTTTGAAATGCTTATAAAATGAATCATTCTACGCTCCCTATTAATCCATCTCTTTTCAAAGTTTTAAAAATCAAGAGTTAATTTTTTAGTAAGTAATTAGTGTTTTGTTTGTTTCCAAATCAAAGTATTCTAAACCAATTTTCCTTATCAGAATCAGAGTCATTTCCTGTCATTTACTTACTAGGAATTGAATAGTAATAAAAATCACGATGTCCTATTTACTTACCATTTTAGTAAACACCATCAAAATAAATGAAAATTTATATTCTCATTCAGTTGACATAGACAGGACATAGTGAGAAAAAGAAAATTGTTTTTTTTAAGCAATGGTTTTTCTTCAAGCATCATCCCCCAAGGTCTTAAATGTCGATGTCGATAAGAACGTCGACGTCTCAACTTCATGGATTGTCCATGAAATCAAATGATATTACTAAAAAGACTATAAAGATAAAAAATAAAAAAATAAAAAAAATTAACCAATAAGTATTTTACTATTTCTAAATAAATAAAAAATGATTAACATTAATACCATCTATATTATTGATATTTTTCATATTGCGTGGATTTTCTTACAATACTATGAAATAATTCTTTAAAAAAAAAAATCCAAGCACAAAATATAACCCCATAAAACAGTATGTATATAAAACATCAAATACCAAATGAACATACAAATCTTTTTATGAAGATCTAAACTCCAATGTATTCTGTTTTATAATCAGAAAGAAAAAAAAAATCTGTTTTAATAAAGTTGCAAATCTCTCTAGAAAAAAGGCCTAGACACCTAGTTTTCTTCTAAATTCAATACAACAAGTGGACTTTACTTTAAAGTGAAATATAGGAATATTTTTTAAGAGAATTTCAAAGGAATAATGGAGTAAACAAACAAATGATGTAAATTGCTACATCTTTCTATGACCAGAGGTGTTCATTACAAACCATCACAACTCAAAAAATACCAAGCATAGATATAAAAGAAACTCAGTTTTTCACTGCTTGGTATAATTCGAGAAAACTATATTTAGGAAAATTAATCAATAAAATCGACTATCGCCCTACTACTGAAGAAGAAAGGTCGATACCGTCGGTCAAACCTTTTTCTATACATGAGGTTGCACACGAAAGAGTCCATCCCAGCCCAAGACCACATGCTGACATTCGTCGTTACTACTGCACTCTATGCATTCTCCTGACAAGGCCGAAATCCAGCCTAACTGACAACCCGGTCTTGAGGGGTTCAATTGTCTCCGATTCCCTTCTCCAAGTACCTGATATTCTCGATCTGCATTCAGTTGCAATAATATAATCGTCAAATGATATTTTTCAAGTACTTTGATATCAATACATAGATATCACCACTCTTTATCCCAACGTTTAGTTAAAATATAACTTAAAAAGGATTAAAATGTTTAATGTATCATCTAGTCACTGTGATATACAAAGATTAATCCATACTACCTGTGAAAAAATACCCGTGCTGAAAAGATAAACACGACGACTTAAATTTTTTTAATGGTTGAATCAATTGATTCTTATAATAATTCTGTTTGTGGTGGGGGGAGATAACTAGGTGGAAGAAGGAACTATTCATAAAGTTAGGAAGAATGAAATGCTCGGGAAATCTCAACTGAAAACAAGAAATAATTACATAATTTTACGTGAAAATAATACGAGAGAATCAGAGATGACCTGATACCCTATAATCCTACTTTTTTCAACAGATGTCTACTTTCAAATTTTTCCATGAATTCTTTTGTAATAGCATAGAGAAATTTTTCCTTGAATTCTTTTGTAATAGCGTAGAGTATACTAACTCTTACCGGTGTTCTAACCACAAAAAATTCTTTTGTAATAACAACATTCTCATGATTCTCATGATTATTTGTGATTGGAAGACTCTTCTTTTGTAGTTTTTTGGGTGGAGTTCCCTCTATCCTAGCCCCTAACTTGTATCCTCCTCCATTCTTTGCCTAATATGTCTTCTCCATTTCTTAGAAAAATAAAATAAAAATTTGGCATCAAGTTGAAAGGAACATGAACCAAATCTATGACCTACAGGAATGGACATCCTATGGTTAACGCAACTAAATCTTCACTGCACAAATAAATATATATATATATATTATTTTTTATAAGAAACAAAATGTATTAAACCAAAAGGAGAAAACAGCCTACGGGCAAGGACCGAAGATGCCCTCTCCTAGAGAGCTACCACATTATAGCTTGCTAAGAAAGTAAAGCGACAAATAATTTTCTTACTCTACTCTGATATCAAGTGGAGTTATCAAAATGACTTTTCTTACTCTACTCTGAAATCAAGTGGAGGAGTTATCGAAGGGGACTGGAATCCTAATAATTGTCATTACTTGAAAGAAAATTTCTTTATAGGTAATATTGTTAGGATTTCAAACAGCATACTTTCCACCAAAGCACTGACAATAAAACTCTCTGGACAGAAGCACAAGTTAGAACACCGAATTTAAACAAAAATAGTACCTGCACTTGAGTTCGTGTTAGAGGTTGAATTATACCGAATCACATAGCTAGACTAGAGGCATGATATAACAAATGATCTAAGAAGAGGAGTAATCAGAACTGCATTATATTTTAATTTTAAAGAAACTTCTTCAAGCCTACCTTCCATGAATTAAACACGGTGCATGAATGTGGCCTAATAATTGAAAACAAAATAATCACGTACATGGTATGTACCTTATTTGATTTAATCTATTGGGTGTTTGTCAGCCTGCCGTGATGTATAATGTGCAGAAAGCAAAAGTAGAGACAGAAAAGCACTGGCCACGAAGATCGCATCAAACCATCGGTGATAAAAGTCAAACTGGATATCTCCCCCTAATACATCTGTTATGATCAATCTAGGGGGATACAAAAATTAGCAAAGAAGGCCGATTAGCAACGGATCACTAGATTGCCTGCAATTTCGTTAAAACTATACGTTGAAAAAGATTTACATATAGCAGTACTTATTGTTTTGTATTTTGGATAAGAAACAAACCTAAAATTAGAGAGAGAAAAGTTTGAAAAAAATGGACGGGAATTGAGATATTGCTCCTACCAAGGCAAATAGGTGACACGTTCTCCAATTAAGATTAATCAATAAAACAACGTGATTAATTACATTTTTTTAGAGACCCCAAAGAGGGACTATGAAGCTCACCAACTCCAGAAAACCATAAATATTTCTAGCTCAACTTAAGAAGAGAGAAAAAATCTTCTATTTCTTTTCTGTAATCCCAAAAGCATTGAGAACTGAATTTGGATTCCATGTCCCATTTTCTTTCTAAAATCGCCTTTAAAACAAGTGTTTCTTATCCACGTAAACACAATACACAGTAAGCTAAAACCAAAAACGATACAGGTATGAGTAAACTATAATCTCATACCTGTACTCTGTTGCCAGGCTTTTTCTTATCAAAAGGATAGAGGAGACAAAATACATTCCCATAATTTCAGAGAGAAAAAGAACAACATTGCTCGAAGATCCACTCCCAACTCTAGAAACTGCAAAAAAGAACTGCACCAGCAAAAAGAAAAAGAAAAGGTAAGATGAATATAGGATGTATTTAGGCTTCAAGGTGTCACTGCAAGCTTTCATTTCAAACAATAAGATAGAGAAAACAAATAGTTGAAAATATACTTGACAAGTAATTGCATTAGTGTCCTTAGCATCAAAAAGCTCTGGTTACACTTAGTCACCCACGCATACCCCGAAAGCAGAAAAAAGAGGTACACTTGTATCCAAATTATATGAGTTTAGCACTTTTTTTGGACAAGCTTGCAGGATAAAATGGCTTCAAGCTAAGTACTTTATCGAATGTTCCTTTGGCATAAACAAGCAAGTAGTCACTTGATGATGATACTTTGGGCACTTGGTTGGAACATCCCCTCAGTTAATTTACACTCAGTGGCAGAAAAAAACACACGTGCATCCTAAAAATCACTAGAAATAACCAATTAAAATGAGAAGGCCAAAAAATTATACCTTCATCAGATTGGTCAAGAAACCTCGTACAGATATTACGATCAGCATTCCAATGAATAGTAGGGATATATACTACAGAAGAATCAGAAAGAAGAGTCAGAAAAGGCAAGGTTAACAGAAACCACAAACAAAAAATTCATTAAAATAATTTTCATAATTTATGTGCATAAAAAGTTCATCTGATCAGCCCATGATACTATGAGCTCCAAGAAAAATGCAAGGCTGTCAGAATGAAAGAGGCAGGGCTAACAGAAGTCACAAATAAAAAGTTCATTAAATATGAATTTCATAGTTGATCGTACATTCATAGCAAGTTCATTTTGCTCAGAACAAGCTTATTTGATATATTTATAGCATTTGGAGGCTGTAGCATCTGGTTAGAAAGGATTTAAGGATATTTCGAGTTAAGGAGGGGTCTTGAGAGGAGGTTTGGACTGTGGATCCCTTCATTACCTACATTTGGATGTCGTGTTGTTATCTTATAGTTAGCAACTGAGGCCCCTTTTTGTATCTGGGTGAAATATTTTTTAGCAGTCCGAATGTCTTGGCCCTCACTTTTGTTGCCTAGTTTATATTTAATAAATGATATCTTTTCTTAAAGTATGTATCATTTTCATAACAGAAGGAAACTTCACTTTTTTTAGTGAATTGTTGTGGTGGGATGCAAACAACTGTTCAACTTGCATCGAGACAAATAGTTTAATGACACGTGCAGAAGTCCTCCTGGGTTACATCTGAATATTTTATTTCTTTAATGAAATAAGGTTCCTAATAAAAGAAAATCATCAATTCACTCACACAAATAAGACACTTGGCATGCAAAGACAAATAAGATTCAATTTAAAAAAAAAAAAAAAGAAAGAATTCAGCTGTCTATGGCCTCCTCATCGAGATTGGCAGTGGAAGATAGCTTCGGTTCTGCTAATAATCGTAAGTGAAACTAATGAACATCATGAACAATTGAATGTTGACGTATTGATAAAAATTTTAAGGGGGCAATTTTAACGATCAATATGGCTAGAACAGTATATTCAAACAAGTGAGTGAATCTGACAGCCAATACACATTGTTCAAGTCAAATAAGCAGCATCAAAAAGTACCAGTACCTGAGACAATAATGCAGCATTGATCCCTATGTCAAAGAATTGAAAGAATATGCTAATGGTCATCGTCACAGGATCAACTGAACCAGCCTATAGATTTAAATATAAGGGAAACATGTAAGACATCAAGAAGGTAGAATATGATTTGAACATGCTAAAACATGGTTTTAAGAGTCCCTTAGGGCACCATATCTATATGTAAAATGTGATCTGAAATAATAAAATCCATAATAGAGAATTGCAACAATACCTCCTTGAAAACAACACTTTGCAGAGACTGCAAAAAAAAAAAAAAAAAAAGACCACCATTAATAAATAAATAATAAATGAATCTGATAGCTTAAACTCCATATATCATATTAGAAATTTGAAGAAGGAAACAACTTGAAGTCATCAACGATTACTTGTAAGCAACAACATGTACTAACATTATTAAAAATTCAAGATTTAAATGATAAAGAACTGTATAGTATTATTTATATAGTGCACCTAATGTTATTTCTATTGCTTAAAACAAGAATTAGAACTGTCCTTGTGAAAGAGGAAGTGGAGTACAGTGTGATTTAGGGAATGCACTGTACTTTCTTTTTGTTTTCCAATTACTGTTGGCTTGAGGATTAGTTACTAAGACCTGTAACCTCCTGGCCGATAGTTTTCTGTTAAGAGCTAGAAACACTAAATATGAGAGATCTAAAATCATAAGAACAATCTTAGTAGCTGCAAAAGAAAGAAAAATTAAAATCACTAACTAGAATTCATTAACTAGTCTACTAACTTACGAGCCATTTGACAAAAAAATGAATCAGGAAAAATCATGGCATCAACTCTCTCTGTCACATCCATTAAATATAGAACCCACTTTCACGGCTTTAAATATCTATTGTCGAATATGATCATGTCAAAAGTTCATCAGAAATAATTGGACGCAGGAATCAATCATGTTTACTGACAAAAGAACTAAAAGCAAAAGAGTAAATTAACACACCTTAATCATTTTATACACACAATAGATAGAACATGCATAGCCGAGTAGATTTTGCATGTGACCTCTCCAGGTACGTGAGTACGCAGCAGCCTCCTGCCAAGTCAGAAGAACTGTTAAACTAATTTCCCAGGTAGAAAATGCTGTGTTAAGAAATTTATGAATCAGTAAATGGTATGAACAACAATTGCTAATGCTACATACTGGACTGATCAGCACTGCCATTGCACAAGTACTTTAGTTATCTTCCTAGAAAGTAGAGTATTAATTTACAGTTTTTGTACAGACAATTGGATGATGGCCTATTACACCATAACTAGCTTGTCAAAAACAAAGAATTTCTATGAGAAAAAAAAAATTATATCGCTTTTTCTATAAGATTTTTTTTCTAGATAAAAGCAAATCATCCATTCAAATATTGATTGAGTGGTTCAGCATTCAGCTACCATACATAATGTTCATAAATTCCCCCAGATTGTGAAATATTGATACAATAAAATCTATGTTGTTGACTGTTGTTCCCGCCTTTTTAGGATAGAGGGCTCCTGTTGTGGCAGACGTTTTTTTTTTGCCATTTTGTGGGGTGACTGGATTGAAATTAATAACAGAATTTTTAGGGGGTTGAGAGGTCTTGGGGGAGATTTGGGTTTGAAGATTTAGAGTAGCTCAACCAGTACATTACAATCATGAAGCAGAATTATCCAGGGAACTTGACAGCCAAACTCGAAAAAATGAAGGAAAATAAAAACCCTACATAGTCTAGAAGCCCATATAGAAATTCTAAACCACACTTAGGCCCTTGTAAATGACAATGGATAATGTAAGTAATTATGCTTGGAATTTCTAAGTTCGTACAATAGTACAGTACAAGCAGACCTTAGCTTGACGAAGCTCATAGATTTCCAGGAATAGCTGCTTTGAAAGCTCCTCCAAGGCTTGTACTTCTGCTTCCATGTTTTTTATATCTGTATAGAACCGTGACAAATGGAAAAAATAAAAGAAAGAAGAAAGTGAGAATAAATGATTTGGGAATACAGAGCAAAAAGAAGAGAAAAAGAAGGGAACAGGTAATTTTAAAAGGATGAGAAAGAGCAACTAACCTTGCTCCTTTTGGTCCTCTTGGACTGATCGAACAACAGTACCAACTAGCCGCTTAAAGAAAGATCTAGATTTGGAATTCTGTAACACTAATCTGTTAAGTTTCGGTGATAATATTAAATACCATGATTTTGATACATACATGGGGTAACTGGAGCCATAGATGTGACATTATATCTGGTTATAAAAGACTACAAAATAATTTTAGATACATTCATTATTCTGTAAGAGAGAAAATAAAACTATAGTAGCAAAGAATAGGCTTATCTCCTTATAGCATCCAAATTGTAGGAAGTAATTGAGTTTTTTTAAAACAGATATATTTTTTACGTAAATTTTTTTTATATCCGTGAGTGTCCGGGCCAGTTTATGCGCAGCTCGACTAATCTCACAGGACAACCACCTAACACTACAACATTTGGTGCCGGAAAACACATAGGAATTACTAATTCCTAAGGTAGGTGGCCATTATGGGGTTTGAACTCATTCCCTCTTAATTAACCCTAGCCCCTTTGGACCAACGAATATTTTTTTACGTAAATTGTGAGGCTACAATGTCTAAGACAATGTAATATCTCCAAGTGTACAACTATGGTAGAGAAGTCGATTATTTACCTTACCACACATCAAAGTTCTAGTGTCACTTTCAATAGATGGTGCAATAAAATGCACAATTTAAATTTAAATAGTAAATAAAATTAATTAAAATAGGCTAAATGTTTAACTTTCATACCTAATGACTGTGCCATTTTTCAATTTTGTTTTAAAAGTTTCAATTATACATCAAGTTTGTTCAACCAATTCTTTGTGTCACTGTATGCAATGAAATTCATGAATGAAGTTATAATACGAGTTGGAAATATCTAAAAAAGTACACGCCCCTTTTTCAACCAGGCATATATCATAAAAGTAAAATGTGTACACATTCTTTTTATCAGATACTCATGATAAAATTTTATTGCTTTAATTCAATGAGTTGAACACGCCTAAAAATCAAACATCTACCTGCTTCACATAGTCTGGCATGCAATAATTTATCCGACTCAACATGGATTATTGGTCTATAAAATTGACAAGTTTAGTTGTTGAGAAACAGCTAACCGCCTCTAAATTAATAAGAAATTTAAAATTTGACATCGTCATTTTTTAATCTTTATTCATATATAGAACTTGGTTCAGGAAATTAAAAGGATAAAATTAAAACTTTTAAACAATTCAATATACTAATTCTGTTTCCTATTAAAAAAACTGAAACAAAGGGTGAGATTGAATAATGACATTCCATTTGGGACAAAATTATATATTTAGCCTGGAAAATAAAGTTAGTAAGACCTAAAATTCACTAAATTCAAGATTTAATCAACCAGAAACCATCATGGGTGGCTCATTGGTCCAAAGGGACTAGAGTTAATTAAGAGGAAATGGGTTCAAACCCCATGATAGCCACCTAACTTAGGAATTAGTAATTCCTATGTGTTTTCCGGCACCAAATATTGTAGGGTCAAGCGGTTGCTCCATGAGATTGGTCAAGGTGCGCTTAAGCTGGCTCGGAAACTCACGGATATCAAAAAAAAAAAAACCAGCTAATAGAATTAAGATAATAAAAAAAAATACCTCCTCTGAGCCAAGAACCCGCTCCATCTCCCTTTGTGATAGAATAATTTTCTTTTTCTTTGCAATACATGTCTCAATGGATTGCATTAGTTGTCTTTCCAAGGCTTTGATCTCAGTCTCCTCGATCTCTCTACAARTTATAAAATAACCACATGCACTAAGTTCACCTTCTGCATCTACTAAAGTGATAATATATGAGAATACTCAAAGCACAACTGAAGAAAAGAGACTTGAACAGAAAATTCAGCACCAATTTTTATAACACAAGGAGCAAGTAACAGGTACCTGATGAAGAGAGACAAATAACTATAAGGCAAATTTACGGCTCCAAAACCAGATAGCACAGCCATCACAGTGACCCCAATCACCCCTATTCTGCTGACCAATTGAGGCATGGTAAAGAAGCCTGAAGAGAAAATATTCTTTTTTTTAAACGGGAAACAAACTTTTCAGAGATATGTGAAAAGTTACAAATAAACGACAAGGATAAGCCAAGTATTAAGTAAAACAAAACTATATCCCAAAGAACCTTACAACAGGCTTTGCAAAAATCACCTCGATTTGTGTTGATAACAAACGGAGAATAGTTATAAAATGCCTAAATGGAAAATATAAGTAACTAAGAAGCACACTATTCCCAAATATTCAATGACAGAAGAAGCAGTGGAGTTGGAATTCAATGCTACAAAAAAACGAAGAAATGAAAGTACAAATAACACATGTAAGGCTAAACATAATCTCCATTAATATGCATTCAACTTCCACGGTTCAGGTAGGGCAGTAAAGACACTTGGATTCAACTGAAGTAGTCAAGGGACCCGAACTCACTGGGATATTAACTATCTAAAGTTGTTCCCGAATGCTAAATGGTGAATGCCAACAAAAGATTCATTATATCATTACCTTTACCCCCTTAACCAAGGATGAGACTGCCATCCTTTGGTGATATGCCAATGTCATTTTTTGTCAATAACATTTTTATTTTGAAAAACCCCTAACTAACCTCTCAATATCTGACGTCTAACCACCTCCCCTGTCCCCACTCTCCTTTTTATTCACAGAGCCAGCCTCCGACACCATCCCCTCATGACCACCAACCACCATAACTTGTTCATCGACTTCCTCTAACCATTTCCAACTAAGTGATAGTATGATCAATTGATTTTGCTCTTTAGCTTTTCATTTGAAGATCAAATATTTAATATTTTCCCTTACTACTACAAATCTCTCCACCATTCCTTTAATAGCTCTATCCATAAATTTACTAAAATAGAATCGTGGATCTCCATAGTTCCCGCAGCAATGCTCGATGCCACTATTCGCCGTTTGAAAAGGATAGATTTATTGCTAGGTTTTGATATCAAGAAAGAAATTGGGAGGATGTAGTGGTAAATGCTAGATTTTAAATACAGCAAACATTGAAATTATTTGGAAGGGTAGCATTAGCAACATGAAATTTTTTTCTCAGCTTAATAGAAAATGGAAACATTTTTTTTTTTATATGTTTCATTGAGAATAATGAAAAAAGATACAAGAACTACAAAAAAGGGCCAACAGAAGGGCATGCAAAAAGACAGCCCAGAAAGAGGAAGCCCCCAAAAGAAAAGGACTCTAATGCAAAAGAATAAGGCCTCGCGTATATTTACAAAAGGGCTTAGAAACCGAGCCCCATAACGAAGTATTAAATCTAACGATATCCCAAACATAGTCACAGACTTTTCAACCCCCCTAAACGATCTATGGTTCCTTTACAGCAAAATACCCCATAACATAGCTAGAAAGCAAGTCTGTCACAAAAAACGACCCCTGACACGAAAAGGGGTATAAAAGCACCTCCTCCATTTAACACAAAATAAAGAAAATGGAAACAATAAAGATAGCATGCAAACACAAAATATAACTACTATCTTTTGGCATGTAGCAGAGTCTAATTATCAAATAAGAATGATACCGCCAAGTTGAGGGAAAATGCGATTCAACAATAAATTCAAAACGAATGACAACCTTTATCAGGGGAAGGCATTGGAAAATGAATGCCCATTCGCCAAAAAGCATAAAGAAACGCCAGTAAGAATAACATGGCTCCAAGAGCCGCCCGCTCCTTCCTTACACCTGGAATAAACGTTTCAGCATAGGTCAAGAACAACAAAAGTTATCAGTTTATCACCATTCCCTAAAACCTTCTTCTACATAAAAATAGTTGTTTCTTCTTCTTTTTTTGTTAAATGTAGTTGTTAGAGATCATTAGTTTAGGTACTTCCATTTAAACAATCTCAAACTGTGCACAACCATTGATGTATGTTATTGAAATTTAAAGCAAACTCAGCTTGAGGTAATTGTAATTTGAAAACTTTGTGTGAATTGGAGATGGATGTGTATCTTAAATTTGGAGGAAGGTTAGGTGAATGATTATTTTGGGTTGAAGGATTAAAGATTGACCTTGAAGTTTAAATTTTGGTGAGTTGTGTTCTAATGAAAATTGTAATTTCACTTGTAATTGAAATAAAACATGAATATTAATAGTGTATTTGATTTTGCTCATTTTTTTGAAATATTTAAAATTAGAATTTGAAATAACAGAAAATGACTCTACCTCACATATGCAACTTCTTTTAATATATGATACAATTTCACTTAATACTCAATTAATATTATATAAAAAAACGTGAAGATGCTCTATGGAGGCGTGTGGTGGAAAGTATTTATGGTACTCTTCCTCATGGTTGGCTCACCGCCACTCCAAAAGGTGCAGCAAAAGGGCGGCCATGGTTTGCGATTGCGAATAACACGAACCTTTTCCTTAAGTTTCTGTCTTTCAAGGCAAATAATGGGAAGAAAATCAGGTTCTGGAAGGATCTTTGGATTGGAAACCAATCGTTGGAGATGACCTTTCCTGACCTTTACTTACTCTCTGTGAGAAAGGAGGACACCATCCACGATTGTTGGAACACCGAGCAACAAGACTGGGACCTAGGCTTTCGAAGGGGGCTCTTCGACAGAGAAGTTAACAGTTGGCTAGGTATAATCAATCAGCTAGATACGGTCTGATTGGGAGAAACCATAGATGGGGTGAGATGAAGATAGATGGTTCAGGTGTGTTCACTACCAAGTCCACTTTTTTCCATCTTTCAAAGCGATGTAAGATTATCCAACCCCCCCTTATCAGGAAGATTTGGAAGACAAAGGTCCCTAAGAAGATTAAAGTCTTTCTTTGGTCGATGGCTCACCGTGGTTTAAACACTCAGGACCGCCTTCAAAGGAAGTGCCGTACTTGGAGCATGCTTCCCTCTGCATGCCCCTTGTGCCTTAAGGCAGAAGAGACCATCGATCACTTATTTCTCCACTGCACACTTGCCAGAAATTGTTGGTCCCTAGTCTTTTGCCATTTCAACATGAGCCTTTGTCTCCCGCAACGAGTAGATGAGTGGCTTCTTCAAGCCATAGGGGGTAGCGGATTCAAAAATGCCAAAGGAACCTTGTGGACTCTCGTGGTGGCAGCAGTTATGTGGAACCTTTGGCTGGAACGAAACAAAAGACTCTTTGATGATTCTTCTTTAGATTTTCACGTTTTGTGGAGTAATATTCAGCTCACTGCTTCTAAGGTGGTGTCATAGTTTTAGTAAATTCTTTTGCAACTACTCCCTTCTTTCGATCCTTCACAATTGGAAGTCGTTCATGTAGTAGTTTTGTGTTGGGGAGGGGTTTCCTCTACCCCTTGCCCTTAGGCTGTTCTCCCTTTTGTGATTAATACACTTCTCTAAGTTTCTTATCAAAAAAAAAAACGTTAAAGAAAGTAAGAGTAATGACATTCAGTTATTAAACTAGTAATAAGGACACGTACCACTATTGCAAAGCATCAAGTAACAATGATAATAAGGCAACATGAAAACCAGTAAGAGTATCAAACAGAACAAATCCACTTTCCAGTTCATCCATCTTGCCCTGCAGCAATTAAAATAAACCAAGATTAATGCACCTAAATGAAGAATAACTTGCAACAATTCAACCAAGAAAATAAGTTCAAGCATGCTTTTCTTATCAATAATAGCAACTGCCAAGTGAAGTTAATATAGATGGAAGTTTTGGGAATTCATCAATAGAGCAACAAGTCTTTTCGAGTTGCTTCTAAATAATGAGGATTGATGTGTGGTTATTGGGATGGGGACCATTCTTAAAAGTGTGCTACAAGAATAATGCTACACCTCTAAGAGAGTATATACAGGATTCCATTAGTGTGAGTAGTATTAGATGTTTTCATAACATACACGTGGTGACAACTGTTCATAGCCCTGGAAATCTACTTTGCAAGGAACTTCCAGAACAAGGAAACGTATCTCCTCATTTTTTAAGATGCAGAAATTAGTTTGCATTTAATTTTGTGGAATATTTGGTTGGAAAGAAATCATAGAACCTTTCAAGACTTTTCGTTAGATTTTCTGAAGTTGTGGAGCAATGTACAGCTCACCACTTCTAGGTGGTGCTATAGTTTCAGCAAATTTTTTTTGTAACTACCCCCTTTGTTATATCCTTCAAAGTTATATCCTTCAAAATTGGAAGGCTTTTGTGTCATAGCTCCTTTTGGGGAGGGGTTCCCTCTACGCCTTGCCATTTTTGTGATTAATACATATTCTCTCTGTTTCTTAAAAAAGGAAAAAAAAAGTATGTATCTAATTTTAGAGAAGTGGCATCTCTCCACTCTGCTTCCTTCTTCTTCATTTTAGAAAACAAGTAATGCGGTAACTTCTTCTTCTAAGATTTTTAGAGCCTAGAATAATACAGAAAATAAAAACAATAACAATATGAACACTATAATTCTAAATTATCTTAATTAATTATACTAAACCAATCTACTATCCTAATTAGATTCTAGACTACTTTGCTACATGTATGCTCCGTTACCTAATTAACTCATGCTCGTGTTCCAATTGAGGCAAAAGAAAAAATGAGCGTCTTATAGTAAGTGAATCAAGGATTGAAGGAAACTTCAAAATCTAAACAACATAGAATATCCTTATCTCTCTTGTAAGAGTGATCTGGCTCGCTACTTTTTCCTATGGATGCTACTCCATTATCCCCAGGATAGGGAAATACTGGAGTTCCAGATTTTTCCAACAATACTGTCACTTAGAAAGTGTCGTTTGACATGCCTTCTTCATCAATAGTGTCTGCCACCGGCAGCTTCTCCCTTACATTGTGATAGTGAAATGGATCTCCTTCTGATCTGTGTTGATCCTCTAAGAAATTTTGCAGCTGCATAATGCTTGTGCATGATGTTAATGGTAAAATACCAACATTTTGGGAGTGTGGGTCGTGTGCCTTGTGAAAATTTTGGAGTGGTTGACTCTTGGGGTCTTTTCATCTAGAGGCTCGTGGTATTCCTCCAAGAATTCTGTTGTTCTTGTTCAGGTCAGCCAATTGCTCCATGTGCAATCTAAATGTTGTAATGAGCTGCATCGCTTTTTTCTCAAGGGGTGGACTGACCAATTTCTCTAAATTCCATCTATCTTCTTCCATTTTCTCGTTGCCCAGAAACAAAGACAAACTCCAAGATCACTTATCCAAGTAAACAATACACGAAAACAAGGTATATGATCCTATTTTATCTGCCTGATTAAATTCTGATAGAACACATGATCAAATTAGCAACCCATAGAAGTCCAAGAATTCCACAATAACAAAAAGAAAACGCCTGGATGTAAAATACCCAGATACCAAAAACAAGAAACGGATCCAAATTGCTCAAAATTTCCGATACATAACCCCCACAAACAAAAAAAAAACACACACACACACACACACACATTTCTCAGTGAGTTCGTTAGTAGAGCAGAGAAAGCACGAATTGAAACAGAGGATTTACTCTTTGGAAAGAAGAGGAATGATCTCGAAGAGAACGAGCTGAAGTAGATTGCAGGAGAAAGCGAAGACGACGCTGAAGATGATTTGAACGAGCACTTGCTTTTCTTCGTACTCCTTGTAAAGCCTCCGGTTCAAGAACCATAGCCCCGCCCATCCGAGCAGGCAAAGGGAACCCACAGCCACCACTCCCTCGCAGATCGACCACCCCCACCCCATGGCTCCGGCGGTCTCTGAATACAGCTCCTCCGTCGGCATTTAAAGGCGGAAACGGAATCTCTTCTTTTATATTAATTTCTTCTCAATTTTTTAATAAGAACTTCAACTACGAACTTTGATGAATGCCTTTCTCCCTCCCTGAGTAGATTTCACGCTTCCGTTGTGTCATTTTCTTTTACACCGTCCCCATTTCTTTTGAACTTCGAGTTGATTCGCAGTTTTTTTTCTTTTTTCCCTCTTTTGTTTTTTATGTTACGAGTAATTCTCAATTCTGTATCTTCTGAAAATTTTAATTTTAACTTTAATGTGTTCAAATTATTAATTAAGTCATTCGGGCAAAAATATGTACAAATTTGTTAACAAAAATTTATGAGTAATTAAAATATTCTTTTATTACCACGTTTCAGTTTTGTTTTGTATTTTTTTTAAGGGCAATTTGTGAGGTGGTATTCCAACTCATGACCTATCGATCAGCGATAAGTACTTAACCTACCTATTTAATATTGTCATATTTTAATATTTAAGTTATAGATTTTGATAACAAATTTAAATCATAATTTTTTTCCTTTTCATTTTCCGCGAACATCTAAATAATTAATTTTAATCATATTAAATTTAAATCATTCTGGATGAAATTAAATTAAATTATTTTTTAATTTCAAATCACGAAATTTAAAATTATTTATTCAACTTTTTTAAGGTCAAACAAATGATAAATTTGAACACATGCTACTTAGAATAAACGAATTTTTTTAATAGATAAGTTAGTTTTTGTTAATGGACAATGTATGTTTTTGTTAGTTTCTCCGCTCGGGATATATTCACAAATATTTGATGGTCTATACTTTTTAAGCCATAAAATATCCATCCACCAATAGCAAAGCAATAGGTGTAAATAAACCGTAAAAAAACAAATTTGTTTTTATACAACAAATCGAAAATATAAACGTTTAAATCTTCAACCTCATCTGAATAAGTAAACGTAAGTTATTATCGAGTTATGTTCATATTAGCGTATTGTAAATACATATACTATCATGAAAATTTGATTCAAGCCACAATAATTAAATTTAAGAATATATTTTTATTACGATCAAATACGAATTTGAACACAAGTCAATTGTTGCGAAATTACAAATGAGGATGAAAAAGAAATAAATAAATAAAATGCGTGGAAGGGCATGAAGAGGAAGAACTATCCATGGGCCAGAATCCCACACAAACCCAAAAGCACACAAATTAAAAAGGCCCACAAATTGTGTAGAACTTTGTATATTTGTTTTTGGGCTTTCTTTGAAGCCCAATTAAGCATATTTTATTCATGGACTTAATGTACTACCCATGATACTGATGTAAGGAAAGAGAAAGTAGCTTGGGCCCTGTTGTTTTTAGAACTTTTTTTTATGATTTCGGATTTTAAATTTGAAACTTTAAATTGGATAATTATATTTTAAAAAATAAAAAATTGGCTGAATATATTATTTAATGGTATAAACTCATTTCATTTTTGTTAATTTTAAAACATGTAAAATATAATATATTGTAAAGTAATAATTATGTAAAATTTATAATAAAAAATGTTAATAAATTAATTAATATTATTTTAAATTTACTGGGTTTATAAATATAAAAATTAACAATTTTTTAAATTGAGATTAATTGAATTCCTTGTTTTTAGATTTATGTATTGAGATCATCCACCAAACACGCCCTTAGCATCTTGTCATTTTAAATGTTGTTTTTTAAGTTTGCTTATATTGTATTTGCTCAAGGTTCTAAAAGGGCGTTTGGTTCACTGTTTTTTTTTTTCTTTTAATGGAGAATATAGACGTGTTAAGTCGAACCCATATTTATTTAGCAGTTTGATAAATTCATATTTGTTATAGTACAACTTATTCTACTTCCTACCTTTGTTATTTCGAGATTTACTACAATACTTTATCAGTACTCCAATAATCCATATCGAACCTATTTTTTTCTTTAGTGTTTCTTCTAAAAATGCATTAAAATTTTAATAAAACATATTAGTTAAATAAGAAAATTAGATTTTGGTGAGTTTCGCTTAAGATGGAATCCGTACATGTTTGTTATGTGAGTTTGTCAAATCTAAGATAATTCAGAAGACAAATCCATGAGGTTCGACAATACTTGAATCGGATCCAAATTTGTAAGCATACACCTCAAACACAGATTTCATTAATTCATAAACCCATTTGAGGCATTATTGATGATTTAGTTGGCATTTTAAAACAAACTTTTTTGGTTTGTGCATAATTAGCTAGAGCCGCTGACAAATTTCCTCGTTAAAAAGTCAAATTTCGTTCCCGAAAATGTTTGGCGACGAAATTAAGTCGTCGTCGTTGTCCGATCGTGAGAGGGTTTCGACAATGACTTCTATTTTTTGTTGCCATAAATTAAAATTCTTGTAGTGATCTATTTCAATTCATGAGTTATGAGTCTTTTAAAAATATTTTCAAAGTATACCCTATCATCCCTAATATTTCGGATCATCCGTGATTTGCTCTTTATTATTATTATTATTATTATTATTTTAAATTCTCAATTCTATCCTTGATATATTTAAAGTTTTTAGCCATGTTATGGGAAAAATTTTGTTAAAATTTGTTTACAAAACGATTATGTTTCAACCATTTAAACATAATTATCAACATGAGTATAACTCAATTGATTAGTGCACTTATCTTCAACTGAAATATTGTGAAATAAATTTATTGATGAGCGAGTCAGATAAAGATTATGGATTATTGCATTATTTTTTATTAAAAAGAAAACAAGAAATACAAATGTATCGTTTCCTCTCTTAAAAAATAATAAATGTATCATTTTTAATTTCTTAGTTTCTAAAATTTTCAATCTAAAATATAAGTTTTCCTCGAAACTTAACTTATTAAAAATAAAATATTCAAAATAAATCATCTCATTTTAATTTTAATTAGATACGTATTTTCATTTTACAAGTGAAACAATTTTATTAGTATTCTTTTTTTTAAACAACATGTGATGTGGGGTGGGAGATTGAACTCACGAACTCTTGATTTATATACAAATGACCGCTAAACTATACTCGCTTTGAAATTTTATTAGTATTTTTAAAAGGTAAGAAATACTTTTTATGTTAAAAATTGTCTATACAATTGTAAAAATATATTTTTAAAAGAAATGAGAAGCCAAAATATGTAACATCCAAACATAAATATTTTTAAAATATAAATTATTAGCACACAAAATAATATAATACTAAACAATAAAGCTTTCGAAAGTACCCTATTTTGTGGTGACGTGTATTGTACGTAGCATGATATGGTATACTTTTTCTTAATAATATGTTGAAATTCTTTTTATGGGAATACGGATGTCCATTCTATTCACTTTGAGTTACGTCAATATCAATCTGTCAATATTAAAAAATTATTTATTGGAAAAATTATGGCGTTGTATTTTCCAATCGAAACAATTTTGAGTGGCAGTGGGGCAAATAATACAACAACAATATTGGACCTTTGCAAAAGAGAGAGAGAGAGAGAAAAAAAAGCAATAATTTTGAATGCTTATCCAAAATGCAAGCACATGGTAACTCACTTAGCTACTTTTTTGTTACTTTATAATAAGTTTTTGGGTGAGTTGAATGTATAGGCTTCTTTTGGGCATTACAAGTTTATTCTGGCTTTCATGACTCAGCTTAGCCACTTATGAGAGTGATATCATAATAATAGTTAAATTCTAATAATGAAATTTTAGGTAGATAGTAGAAATAAGTGTCGAGAAAGATCACTAGAGCATAGGTAAATTATATTTAAATGAAATTACTTTTCTCATGAAGTATCTATTAAAACGTCAGCATAGACAATCTCTTGCGGCTCTTTTAAAAAACATCGTCATAGATTATCTATGCCAACGTTTCACATTCTTTTCGTTGGCATAGAATTTTTCTACAACCTTGTGGCAACAAAAATTTTCGTCGAAAATTTATTTTTCTTAATGTCTTTTAGATTTTCGTCGACATTTTTTACTGGTAAAAGGCTTGATTACTTCTTCTAGTGAATCCCTCGGCAACAAGACTTTGTTATATTGTAATATTATATTCTAAAATAGGAAAATAGAACACTTGGTAGGTCAAATTTGCAAAAATATATAATTGAGCCAACTTCTCTTTTGAACTTTGCCTTAGATCATTTTATAGGGTTTTGGGTTTTTTATTAAAAAAAAAAAGGAAAAATGAAATGAGTTATAGTGGTATAAATAAATAGTGTGTCTTGTTGTTTTGTCTCCCTAGACACAAAATAGTAAATGAGAGGTGGACCATGTATTTTTTTTAGCAAAGCTTGTTGTCAAATATGAAAAGGTTTTTCAACTGAATGACCTGAAATATTAGGCAAAAATGAAATGTATCCCTTTTTTTTTATTATATAATATGCAATTTTCTATCATTTTGCTTATGTCACTCATATGTAAAATTCGAGAGTTTACTATTGAAAATCTATGATGTCACATTTTCTCAATTATCGAAGTTTAATAGTTTACTTTCTACCATTGAATGTTTAGGGGTCAAATTTTTGTAAGTTTGAAAGTTTAATTTTTACAACTGAAAATCTAAGGGTGCAATTATAACCAGTGTTTTGTGCCAACTTACGATATAAATAAATTAAAATCAATTGTTGTTTTAATTAAAAATAATATTAACACACGCTATACTTAGGGGCGTTTATTCCATGGAAATCCAAGATTTTCATTGAACGAACATATGAGTTCCATGTTTGTTTTCCAGGGATGTAAGATACATTGAATACTCCTAAAATGTCATCAAACATAACTTGAATGCTCCCTTGAAAAGTGGATTTCCAAAATTTCTATGTAAAGAACATCATCCTTTTACACTTATGCCCTTTTAGCCTACTGTTTTTGAAGGGATGTGAATCCCACAGCGGAAGCGGACTTTCGTTGCTAATTTTCGGGATATAAAATCGAATTTTACAGAGGGAAAATACAGAGGAAATTCAAACCTTTGAAGATCGTTTCTTCAGTGAATTCCCCTCGAACACCACCACCGGATCTTCCTCACTATCCTCTTGGGTCTCGGGATCGTGCTTGTGGTAGCACCTTGATCGAAGAGAGGGAGAGGTTGAGAGAGTTTGAGAGAAATCCTTGGAGGTTTTTTTTTTTTTTCTGTGTCTTGTTCTGTACTGT